CGTCAAAACTCCAGATTTTCGCCCATCGCTTCTGTTTTCTCTTCATCACCGCCAGCAACCAAACACTACTTTACGGCAGCCTCGATCTCCAATGACGAGCCTGTTTTCGCGCTGCGCGTAGAAGAGATTAGGCCCATGGCTGGGCACCCGATCTGGAACACTCGTTCCGAGTATCCTGAGAGATGGGGAATCAGCAGAGGTTACATACAGACACGTGCTACTTTGAGTGCTGTCTTCACACATTGCACCTGACTTCATACCTGAAGATGTCAAATTCGCTCATGCTTCATGTCGGTGTTTGATCACTACGTCTAGTGTGTCAATTTCAAGGTCAATACAAACAATATGACGGGACGCTATGCCATGAGTATTGTATGCTTCAACGAATGCCTGGGTGTTACATATCTCACGTGTATCTGGAAGATGGCCCATCAGCCCCAGACTGGTCGTTCACTAGTTCCATGTACTTTTGAAGGGGCTGTTTCGATGTAGATTGTACAAGCCGGCACCTCCCACACCCGACCGTTAGCCGTCCTCTCACGTTCACCACACATGACCCTTCGTCTTGTACCCAGTTTACCCTCGTCACTTCTTATTCCCACCGAATCATGACCGCCTTACCTTCAAACACGACTTCTATAGGCTGTGGTTTGTCTAAACAGATATGTATTCGTGCAAGGGAGAATGAATTGTCTTCACACCTCCTGGGACTTGGCCATACATAACGACAGATCTTGGAATACAGCTTCTAGAAACACTATTTCCGGGATACATACCGCCATTGCCGTTATTGCCTCCACAAAGATGGGCATGTGTGGTTGTTCTCTGGGCGGGTAACAAATTAACAATATAGACGCGATCGGATATATTGGATCGCAATACACTAATCTCTTCGATACACCACCCCATCGATAAACGCCATAGCACTGGTATATATTCTCTTGAATGTCACCATCGATTTCCAGTGCTTCGTTCTCATTCCATCTCATCCTAATCTAGCTATGGCTCGTTCTACAGGACTCCTGCTTTCGCTCCTCGCAAGCCAAGCTTACGCTCACACGTTCATTTGGGTACTTCAATTGCAAGAATCCAAACCGCACATGGACTTGATAACTGACTCCACGTAGGGCGTGTATGTCAATGGCGTGGACCAAGGTACCTTCAAGGGCATCCGAATCCCAGCCTACAACGGCGCACCTGGCAAGGGCGGCTACAACAACTCCCCAGTGAAGGACTTGGGATCCATTGATTTACGATGCAATGTCTTGGGCGATATTCCAGCACATGACACAATAAAGGTGGCACCTGGCGACAACTTGACCTTTGACTGGTACGGAAACTCTTACGAAAGGTGTTTTGCTTCGATGATTAATGAGAAATATCAGGCATCATGATTGGAGAAACGATACCGACGATGTCATTGCAAACAGCCATCATGGTAAACCCACCCAAAGCTTTATTTGTCAAAATCGTTTAACGAGAATATAGGCCCTTCGCTGGTGTATATTTCTCCCGATCCACCAAAAGAGAACTCCTTTGTCAAGCTCTGGCATGCCGGCAAATACGAGAACAATCCTTTCCCACAGCCTGGAAAATGGTCTGCTACCTCTGATATTGCGAAGAACTTTGGTCACATGAATGTGCGGATCCCCAAGGATCTCAAGGCCGGCCAGTACGTTATTATCGCTCTTGATCATCCTCTCCAATTTCTCGGAAATCACTGACATTGATGATAAGCTACCTGATCCGCGCTGAGATTATCGCTCTACACGAAGGCGAGGTCTCCTACAAGGTCAATCCTCGCCGAGGTGCCCAATTTTACCCTGACTGCGTGCAAATTGAGGTAACTGGCGATGGGACCGTAGAGTTGCCCGAGGGCGTGTCTTTTCCCGGTGCATACAGTCATGAGGACCCTGGTGTCGTCCACAACGTCAGTTCACTCCTTTGAAAGCGCTGATCCCGTGGTCGTCTCAAGTGCATCATTAACAGCCCACAGGTCTACTGCTCTACTGAAACCAAGAAGCCCAAGACGTCAACGACTCCTTGTGTGACAGAATACATCATTCCCGGCCCCACGGTCTGGAGCGGTGCATGGCCAGAGACAACAGGCGTGTCTGTTGGACCCGTCAAGGGCGTCACCACAGCCACGCCATGGTCTACCTGGATTGGCACAGATTCCGTCGTTACCAAAGCGACATACACAGATGTGAAGAGCCAGACCATTGTGGAAACCCAGAAGTATACTGCGGCTTGGAGCGAGACGTATGCTACGCCAACGCCTGGTTCACCACGATGGTGATTGAGGAAGAGGAATGGAGGGGAAGGACTAAATGTATTGGTCTATATATATATCTAGCCTACGTAGAAAATACTCAGAACAGACATCAATTTGATCGAGAATGTAGTCAGGGGATCATCTGCACCTAAGGCGCAATTAGCGTTTCTTTATGCCCTACACGCGCGGTATGGTCGAGACGAAGCTTTACTCACGAAGGCCGAAAAAAGCGGAAGGCAATTGGCACTGACTCCACAGGGAGACTAGGCAAAGAGACAACGTTTCAAAAGTGCCATTTTATTGGCATGAGATCTTTTTGTAGTTCATAAATATAGTTTGCAACAAATAGACTGGCCATGAACTGAAGCTATGATTGACACAGTTTTCTCTTGCCTTAGAAGATTACAGGGCCCAATCGTCAGAAGATAGTGCCTTCCCAGGGGTGCTTGGGTGAGCAGAATTGATACGAAAGTCTCGCTGTTGTGCTTTCATTGAGGAAATGGGAAATTCCTGGTACCTGCTCCAGGGATATTCTTTACTGGTGCTGTACAAACAAATAATGCCATTAATCATTTTCTTACTTCAAGTAGGCGACATGTTGCTACGAGATTCCGATTGTGTTTTCCATAAGAGTGTCTCAAACAAGGTACTAATTTTTAATCAACTTAAGTGTTTAGTAGAGACAAATATTTTCTGCATGTTTGGCGCAAGACTCTCACAGAGGAGATATTAGGAGAGCATCAAATGGACTGGTCACGTGAGTCCAATCTCGCATCTACGGTGAGGTGCAGCTAGCGATGTCCATCACCTCTACACATCCAAACTATTTCATATATGACTTGACCGTAATTCTGATCGCAATCGTCTTACCATAACATGAAGCACAGCTGTAGTGTCATCAAGCTCAATTGACGCGACGCGTCGTGCTTCGCGACTAGGTTCCAGGTCCTCCTGACCAGCCTTTCTCACCCACATACATGAGTTTAGCTTGGAAGCTGGCTTCAGAGTACTCCCGGAAAGGACGTTGCTCATCCAATGGCCCCAAAGAAACAAACCGTAACGGCCAAAGCGCTGCAATCCCTTCTCACGCGTATTGGATCAGCATCCTCAGGGACCAAGGCCACTCTGCAAGACCGTCTTGTACGCGACATCTACAAATCCCGTCTATTTGAACGTCGCGTAGACTGGAAGGCCCGACAAGAGCTAGATTGGGGACGCAAATTGCGCATAGTAAGCATTGACATGGGCATCAAGAACCTTGCGTTTTGCGACGTGGAAGTCGACTATCCATCAAAAGATAGTTTGAACGCAACTATGAACGTCATTAGATGGGAGAAGATCGATCTTGTAAAAAGCACGCGTAGTTTCCGGCACCATCTCCCAAGCCCTAAGAAGATTAAGAAAGGCTCTATTGATGAGGATGAAGACGTGGATCCGTATTCGTTGAAAGTTCTCTCCAGGACAGCACACTCTCTTATAAAGCGGGACATACTGGCTGGGGCGCCGGATATAATTCTTATTGAGAAGCAAAGATGGCGGTCAGGTGGTGGCAGCGCCATTCTGCAATGGACCGTCCGCGTTAACACTCTGGAAGCTATGCTATGGGCTATTCTGCAAACGTTACGCTCTGAATGGGAAATTGCCCTTGAAGGATATAGGAAACCAGGGAAAAGAGATTATGACGTCTGCGAGGTAGATCCGAAACGAGTGGGCCAGTACTGGCTTGGGCAAACGAACCAGGCGCAAGAATTGTCGTTGTCAGATGAAGAGGGTGTAGACGAGAAAGATGAAGCGGCTACGAAGAAGAAGACGAGTCGAGGAAAAGCAGAGAAGAAAGCTAAGGTCGCTATCCTACGATCGTGGCTCTCACCAGATGTCCCCTCTACGGTGCCTTCAGCTAAAGGAAACACCCCAACGATCTCATTTGATATTATCCGCGCCGGGCACGTGAAACAAGCACTCTGCTCGCCTTCAAAATCTCCACGCAGGAAATCAAAGAAGTCCAGCGACGTACCTGTAGATTCCGAGGTCACAGTCGAGGAAGTCGACGATGCAGGTGCAGATCTCAAGAAACTCGACGACATGACCGATTGCTTCTTGCAAGCTGCCGCGTGGGTGAGCTGGGAATCAAATCGCCTGCAGCTTCTCGCAGTGCAGGACAAGAAGAGAAAGGAAGACGGCTCTGTGGCGAAAATGAGCGACGAGGTTGTGCTCGAAATGGCCAAAGAAGTTGGAGTGCTATAAGGCTCATCTTCCTACCGGTATTCAAATGAAAGAACCCGCGGGCCCATCAAATGCAGCGGGTTCCAAAGTTTCTGGACTCTTGAATGTGGCACGAAATGGCCATGGTGCAACCTAGGAGAAGAATACCTGGATGCCCATCCGTTTGCCAAACCAGAATATCTGCAAAATCTTCTACCCACAAAGAACACAAAGCACTGGAATACTTGCAGTTATCCGCGTTCCACAGATTCCGCGGTGTGCAACTTGAAAGGGAGAAGGAGCCACTCACATACCGTCCCAACGACCCCACAAATCCCTGGCCCAACCCCATCGCCGCATTTTCACACAGCCCACCTGACCCCGCCGCTAGGCCGCTGCGTCACACACCCGCGCAGACTCTGTTTCCGACCTGGAAAGCCCGTGGTCACTTATTTTAGGGCTATATATTGGGTTTAATTTCAAAAATCTGCAAAGTTTGTCTTTTCTCTTTCGAGAGCAAAAAGTCTCGGTGGCGCAATGGTAGCGCGTTGGACTTCTATGATGCGCACGGCGTCATCCAAAGGCTGCGGGTTCGAGCCCCGCCCGAGATGCTTTTTCTTTTTTTTGGTGTTTATGCGGGGTTTTTTTGATTTTTTTTGCTGATGGGTGGAGGCACGTTGGTGGAAGGGACACGACACGATGCAGAGAACACGGTTGATGGAGTACGCCATAGGCGCATGGCAAGCCTTTTATTTCTATCGGCAGGAGATAAAGCCGAAGTAGATACACATAACCTAGCCAAATAATCCACTGGACTAGCCTTCATGACTGTCCAAGAGCCGCAGATACGTCGTAACGTTATCTCAACATAACTTTTCGTAAAGTAAGCATTACCGGCCGCTGCCCCAGTGACCCAAACATGACAAGATACAATGCGCCGGAAAGCCTGATCGTACAAAGTGAGACCCAAGATGAAGAAATGAAGAAGAAAATACAGGGCCAGCCAGCCAGGCCTGTCTAAAAAAGGGTTCAAATGGAACATGCTCCATATAATTCAAAGTCATTCAAAAGACCGTGTTAGTCCAACGGATGCCCAGAAATCATCGCTAATGTCTTCCCGGCGTGATAGGCGTTCAAGCAATGATCGCGCATCACGAAGCTCCTGGTCCAGCGGCGACGACCCAATTGACAGTAGCGGGGGGATTTCCTCGTCGCCAATAGGAGAGTTGTCTTCTGCTGGCCCATCGAGTTGATTCGAAATCGTCCTTTCGGATTGCAAGTCCGTGTCGTGGGGTGCGAAGAAGTCGCGAACATACTCGGTTGCGGCCGCAGAGCGTTCCAATGCCCGTCGCGAATACCGCTCCGAATCCTGCTGAGGGGGCTCAAAGGAGAAAAACGATGGACGCATTCTTCGTCGTTGAGACATGAGGTCGGACTGATACGACCGATTTCGCATAGCCGCGAGACCATTCAGGCGTCGAATGCTGCCACGCACATCAATGTCTTCCTCCTCTGTATCTTCGGCGGTATCGTCGTCAGAGGTGTCGCAAGCACGCATGAACTGCTCATTTGGCTGCGAGGAGCGGCGTTGTGATGGGATCGTGATATGGGTCGATGAAGATGCGGCGGAGTTCGAACTTCCCGCGCGTGAGCTAGGATGCGAGTTCGAGAAAGATGCCGCTGCCGCTGCAGATGCAAAGGAAGATTCGGCAGTAGGGCCCACGGGGTCAGGCACAACAAATGACTCCCAAGGCAATTGCTCCTCGAGCGGACTGATGCTGCGTTCGCGGTCTCCCAGGCCATCCAGTGCAGACACAGGACTCCACGACTCCCGCAAGGAGCTGGAGGGCAAAGGTCCATCGGCAATGGTGCGACGACCCATTCTTCGAAGCGGTGGGAAGCTTACAGCAATATTGGCACTGTCGTCCTGTTCATCGTCCATTATATCCATGCTGTCACTACGTCGCATTGAACGCTCCCGACGGGGGCTCCGGGAGCGCGTCAAACGCGGGCTGCTGGCGCGGCGATATGACAACCCGTTTCTCGGGTGGTAAAGGTCCCGCGATTCGCGTTGGCTTTCAAATGAAGCAGCAGCAGGCGCAAAGTTTGGGGTCAAGGCTGGCAGGGGGCGATCATGCGATCGGCTTAGAGAATCGCGTGTCTGATACACGCGCATGTACCCGTCGAGAAGGGAGCGAGATCGATGCAAAGAGCTTTCTTCTCGTAGCAGAGCAGGGGGGTTTCTCGTAGGTTCGTTGCTGCGGTCATCGGCCCTCGAGAGCTCGGGCACCGGGGGTCGAGGCAGGCGGGTGCGAGTATGCGAAGAGCGAGAAGGCGGGCCGAGATGGGGAGCGAAGCGCGAGCTGGAGACGAGGTAGTCCGTGTCGGACGCATATGGAGATCTGGGTGAGCTGCTCTGTCGCATGCGCCGCCGGATGGGTGAACGCTGCCCGGTCACGTCTGCCCGGAGGACATCTTTCTCCCTGGATTCATCTCTTTTGATGTTCCAACCGATTGGGATGCCCATTGCGCACAGAAAATGAGTAGAGAGGAGTCGAAAATGATGGAGTGGCGATGTGGGTGATGATGGGTCGCGCGCCTGGGGATGAGTTTGGGGTGGTCGGAGAAGGAACGAAGGCGCAGGGTTGCCGCGCCTAAAACAGCAGTGAGGCTGAAGCACCGCAGCGAAGCCACCACGACAGCAGATGGCGATTGTGCAGCTGGACAATTGTCGGAAGAGGAGAGTGGTATAGCGACGGAGCTGCAATGCGCGAGTTCTATAGCACAGGAAACCTCATGCCTCAGATGCGTGATACATGACCTCGAAACGAGCATGGCCAAACATTCCGTAAAGGTCGGCAGGAACGACCTAGCCTTGCCAAGCCATCGTTGCCTGTTCGGGCAAGGGCGATCTCCACCGCAGCTTTTTATCCACTCGATGCAGAGTGAGTCAACGAGCTGCAGGAACATCGTTTCATAGCATCGCCGCCTGGATTTCTGTAGCCTTTGTTGCCTATGCTACCTTGACGAGGCACCATGGCTGTGATCCAGCCCGGCTTGGAACGCATCGGCCAGCTCCTCAAGAATGTGCAGTTCCCATGGAAATCCATCCATGTTGCCGGCACAAATGGCAAAGGCTCCATCTGCCATTACGCCTCGTCCCTACTCACGCACAGACGCATCAAGTGTGGGAAATTCACGTCTCCACATTTGGTTGATAGGTAGGCACATGGTCACGTGGTGTAGCTCTGTTCTGATGCGCTGCAGATGGGACTGCATCTACATCAACGAGAAACCTGTGGACGAGACACTCTTCCGCAAGGTTGAGACTCACTATGCACAGTTGAGCCAGAAGGAGAACATCAACGCCTCGTCATTCGAAATCTTGACTGCTACAGCCTTTCACATTTTCAATGAAGAAGAGGTTCAAGTTGGCGTTGTCGAGGTGGGAATGGGTGGGAAACTCGATTCCACCAACATACTCAACAACCAAGTGGTTTCAATTATTTCCAAAATTGCCTACGACCACCAGAGGTTTCTAGGAGACACAATCGAAGAAATCGCTCTTCATAAAGCAGGGATTCTGAAATCGAACACCCCCTACGCGTTCAATCCGTTGAATTCGAAAAGCGTTCAGGCTGTCATCAATCAGTACGCTAAAGAGGTTGGAGCAGGGCGACGTCTTGATGAGAAAACTTTGGAGCTTGAGACCTCTCTATTCTCCGAAAAGGACTGGCAGGAATTCGCCAAACCCCTTCAATCATTCCAACGAGACAATGCAATCCTCGCCATCATCGCTGTGAAAGAAGCAGTGAAATCTTTGGGGATTGATTTCAGCGATGCTGAGATCGCAGGGACACTGATGAGCCTCCGAGGAAAACCAAATCCGGGGCGATTGCAATATCTTCAAGTCCAACCAGTCTTTGGCAATCCCAATGATCCAGGAAGAGATATTCTTATTGATGGTGCGCATAATCCAGACGCTGCGAATGCTCTTGCAAACTTCATACTGGAGAAAGAGAGACAACGTAAGACTGGGAATACACCATCTGGAAGTGAGCGACCCGTAACATGGGTTCTCGCCATGACCGAAGGGAAAGATGCAAGACAATATCTTGAGATTCTTTTGAAGCCTGGGGACAAAGTTGTCACTACATCCTTTGGACCTATCGATGGCATGCCATGGGTCAAGTCGATGGACCCAAAAGAACTTTTCACCACGGCAAAAGCTGTGCAACCTAATATCACAGGGTTATATATACCTGAGCGTGGTGCATTCCGAGCACTGAGTGCAGCGAAAAGTTTAACAGATGATGAAAATCCAATCGTTTTGACTGGCAGTCTATACCTCGTGGGTGATTTTCATCGCGAGTTACGAACAAGGAATGAGCAGGCCTGGTGGACAGATTCAGAGCACAAGGCGGACAGATCTAATATGAAGAGGATACATGAAGTAGAGCAGCAGCGAGTAAGACAGATGCTCAGCCAATAGCAGAAGGCCACCACCCCTTGATATGCAGATAGTCAAAAATAGTTGTACAACATGCAGCACGACGGAGTTGGAAGAAGTCCGCCATGACGTTCAAGGAAACCTTTCCGATGCACGCTCGTCTTCGCATGCACGCAAGCCTGACCGCAAGTTGTGCTCTTGGTACACTTACTTAGCTCAGTCTACTTATTTACACCGGTTACCCTTGGCTTAACGCGAGGACGGCCTGTCGAATCCCTGAGGCGACACGCATCGTTGCTGTTCTCACCCATGGTTTCTCTGCTACATTCTACACTTTGGCTCTCTTACTCTTTCCGGAGATATATGTGACAACCATGTTAGCAGCGAGTGTCAGATTAGCGGTCCAATTGAATGACTTCTTTCACACATGGATGGTGCTATTTCCGTACTGTCGACTCCTCAAATCTTGAATTTCTTGATTCCCGCTTGACACCACTGCTTTTCTGAACAAACTTCACTTTCAAAAATGGTCGACTGAGCTGGAAACTAAAGTTGCAAACGCTGGTGGCAAAAGTTCGGCAATGATTGCAGTGCAGCTAATCCAAAGATCCTAGAAAGGGGTGCAGTAATCGCTCATTTCGACAACCACAGTTCTGCCACTGCAATCGACACTTTTGACAGACTTTTGCTTCTAACAGGCATATCGTGACAGTGATTCGTGGTAGCTTCAGGGGCAGTGGATCGTTGGCATGAAAGTCAAATGTGTCATGCCGCTGTTCATCCGTGGTTCCAGCTGTCAGGAAATTGCTAGGGCTGCCTTCGCAACCGCAGATTTCGCGCCGAAATCCACACTTGATTGCAAAACCTACCAGTTTGGGACAGCCCTTCAAGCACTTTCAGCGAGGCGTGGTCGACACGATGCATAATGGCTGCAGTAGGTCGACGGTTACCTGCAACTTGCATCGAGCCGCTGCGATTCCCATGGGTCAGAGGGTTGCGGAAATTGCATCGCGACCACGGTATTTCTACTGTCATCAACAGAGTTAAAAGGAAATTGCTTTCTTGGGTATAGTTTTCGGTAAAGGGATTGCTGGTCATGATTTCGCGAATCGAAAGATGCGGCTAGAAATGACCTTGCTGTTTCGTTCCAAGGATCAATTC